AGGTAGTAATACACTTTTCCAACTCTATGTCGAAATACATCTTAAGTCCAAAACAAAATATCACAATACGTCGCACCAGGTTCTTCAGTACAAAACAAAACCAAAATCAAGGCATTCACTAAACTTTTCACCGGCTCAAACAAATTCGCTTCCCATTGCGAAGTCCAATTAGTGACTCAACCATTTCGGGTCAAAATACTCACGATCAATACCAACTCATAAAAAGATCTTCCATCAAACTCACAAAGTTAACCATCCAAAACAAAAGAACTTCTAAACTCTGAATTAGCCCCTTAAAGTCTTCTACAAGACACAAAATAAATCTTCGTGGAACTGTCCAAAATATCACCGTCTAAGTTGCTTACTTAAGACACTCACGTCCAACAGTTCCAAAACTCCTTCTTTAGAGTACTCGACATGCACCAATCTAACTCCACTACTGATAACGCAACGCTCGGATGCTTGCCACAATCCCTTAACTTGATGTAAACCAAATAATATCCATGAACACGAAACAACTCTACAGCTACTCATGAGAGTACTATTGGAACATTCCAAAATCGTACCTGACGCATTAGTCACACTAATGTCATCAGCTTATACTCGCCCGGACCACACACTATCTTGAAAAGCATTGCCTGAACATCTTCAACCCTCACACTAACCCATAGGCAGCCAGACTTCAAATCGATCTCACTAAACACATAAACTCCAAATAACTGCTTCACTTAAATATCAATCCTCGGAAGCAGACACTCGTCCTCAACATCCGCTTTGTTTCTTGACTACAAACGACACACCAACTCGGGTAACCTTTGCTCTTCTCGAACAACACAATCGGCGCACTCCACGGCGAACCACTCAAACAAACAAACTCTACTAAAACCAATCTTCAAGTTGACTCTTCAACTCTAATTCAGAAACAAACGTCCCTTAAGGATACTTTGAATCACAACTAGTTCCAAAAACTAAATCCATCAAAACTTTACCTCGCACTACAGCGGTAATTCACTCACATCTCCACAAAAGGTTTCAGAAGAATCACAACAAGAAGCTCGCTTGCCAAAATCTTCTTTCTCACCAAAATTCAAATTCGCCCACAACTCAAGTAACCATGCACTGCCTTGTGCCAACTCGTCTGCTTCACACACTATTAAGTTGGCAAGACAAGTCTATCCCAACCAACACAATTCCCGACTACTATCAACAAGAGATTAAGGATGATCAGTCCCTCAATTTGTCAATAGACAGTCGACAATCATGACAGTGACATAAACCATCTATGCCAAGCTACAACAGCGTCTTCAAACTTACACTATAAGTTACCAAAGCGTAACACTGCCTGAGGCTCCAACCTAAGCCACAAGCGCCACCAAGAAGTAAAACTTCTCCCCCACTTGTTTAAAACTCATCTCTGCAGACAAACAATTTGAAACAAACAAGTACCGACAATGTTTCACACATGTCACATACAACAGGGTTAAACACACTAATAACTTGGTCGACAGACCGACCTGCTCTGATACCACTAATGTAACACCCCAATATTACCCAAGGTTTTATATGCAACAATCAGAGTAAATTAAAATTTCATAAATTTAATACTGAGGCATCACACCTTCAAAAATAACTCACTTTAAACAGTTTGATTTAAAGTATAAGTCTCGGATACATAGCATCGCCGGAAGACATAAATTGATTCAAAAACATCAAAACATCTTCTTTAATAAACTTCCTTAATAAATCATATTTTCATAAAGTATGATTCTATATACAAAAGGAAGAACAACAAAAGAATCAACAACAAGACAACATAAATGTTTCCCCCCGAGTGCTACGTATCAGAGCGACACCGACTCAACTAACAGCAGCTATAAACTCCGTCTTCATAACCTGCACGTTACCAATATAAAGGTAACGGCGAAACAAGTAAAGGGTGAGATAATCCAAAACATATAGTTAAAGACATGATAAAAAATATATATAGTTTTGGAATTGTAAAGGATATAAATTAATAAGTGCATTCCAACACATATCCAAACCTCACTTACTCTTATCGTCATTCTAAAGTGTATAATCTATACTTAATCGCCTTAGCCTCATCGGCACAAATCATCACAACAACACGTAAACCTCCGTCACCACGAAATCGTCACAAGCTAATACATCGCTAATTAACACGGCAATCATAAACAACAACATCAACCAACAACATTAAACAATGCTAACAACATGAGCAACATAAACAAATCATCACAAATTGGCTAAAGCCCATCGTCGCTTTTGGCATAAAAGCCCATCGTCGCTTTTGGCATAAAAAGCCCATCGTCGCCAATATCATCACATCATAATTGCATTAAGCATTTCATCTAAATTAAGTCATCACAAAACTCACCATTTATATTCATCGCCTAGTTATCATGAAATTATCAAGTTATATTCATCTCATGTTCATCATAAAGATCTTCATCAAACAAAGCATCATACATCATCACAATTCAATCATCGTCAATCAATTAAAAACCCAACGCCAAACAACTCACACATAAACATAACCGACTCCATGAGACACGACTATGTTATGCATGTGGTACCCGTCGCTTTGTCCATAATTAGGAACACTTGGCATAAAAGCCTCGTCGCTTGGCATAAAAGCCCATCGTCGCCAATGCAATGTATGTGACTCGACAATAAACAACACAACACAAAAACATCATCGTCGCTTATCAAAATTGGCATAAAGCCCACGTCACCATAATTTATCCAAATCAAGATAAATATATCATCGCATTATATTTGCATTATGCAAAACGTCACATATAATTCATCATCATCAAAATCACGCATTCACAAATCGGAAGCATTTATTAATAACATCAATATAATCATCACATCATCATGTACAAAGACATATAACCTCGCATCGCATAATCAACAAGTATTCACTAACTAATACGTCGTCGCAAACATTATGTTTAATCACCCCACCTCATTATCGATTCGTTCACTAAATTCTACATACGGAAAGATAGTCAAACACCTATCATCGTCGCAAAAGCCATCCCTAATAACCGGCATTACTCCTAATCGTCAACATCACAATCGGATTGTCCATACGTGTCTTAAATCCCCTAAAACGAAATCCGATTCAATTAAACCGTAATTAAGCCTATTTCGGGTCATCTCGTAAAAACTCGCAACTTCTAAAAACTAACCTCACCACTAAGTTCTACACGTCAAACTTAGCTAGCACGTTGTCATACCCCAAATTTGCCCTACCATAATCTAGAGTTTTCTTCAAATAAATTTCATTATTTAGTTTTCACTTTTATAGGGATATTTAAAGTCAAAGGGGTGTGTTGATGTAAAATAGACCATCAATATCTGATGGTCCATTAGGTCTTAAAATTTATTTCAAGTTTAAAAGAGAGGTGTTTTATTTTAATCAAGGAGGTGTGAACAAATTAGTTTTTAATAAGGCCCGATAGCAAGGCCCTTATGGTTTTCTATTTTTTTTTAATATTACATTATTATTAAGCATTATTATTCTTGCTATATTTACTTTTATTAATTATCATTATTTTTTTCATAATTGATTATTATTAGTATTATTATTTTAGCATTAACATTATTATTATTATTATTATTACTATTATCATATTTATTTATTATTAATATTATTATAACATTTTTATTAGTCTTATTTTATTAATTTAAAGGAATAAATGTTGTTATTTAAAAAGAAACATGAAGCCCATAATCAAGGCCCGTCCAAATTCTTAGCTTATTTAAAGAATTGTTTCAATTATAATATTTTTATTATTATTTAAAGAATTGTTTCAATTAAATGTTGTCTATTTTAAAAGCATTTTGTGAAAATATTATATTAGAAAGGATATTGGAGTCTCTAAACCCAAACACATCACATGCCCATTAAGTTGTTTTCATCTCAGATAGTAAACGCATAGGCCCAAAACAAGTTAAGAACGTGTGGCCCAGTCAAAGCAATCTTTGTAAGACAATTAACAAAAGAAGCAAATGGCCCATTTTTTTAAAACATTTACTGTGGAGATTCATCTGCGCATGGGGTAAGGGATTTGTTATTCTAATTCTTTGAAACGCAGTAAATGGTAATAAGGCACATCAATCCAAATCTGGAAATGTTTTCAAAAACGAAAAAACAACTCAATAACTGTCCAATAATTAGAGAAAACAAATTCAAATCATTTCCTAAAGCTTAAAAACCTAATTTAATAAATTTCCTATTATGCTAAAATCCTAATTGCTATAAGATGGGGGATAAAAAACAGTACAGGAGAGACTAAAAAATTGCAGCAAGAAAACAAAACAGTATACAGAGGGGGACGAACGAACAAACTTGAAGCAAGAAGAAGAAGAAGAGATCCGAGTTTCAATTTCTGAAACCCTGGATCTATCCGCCGTGCTATACTACCTTCACCCGCCAGTACCTGCGAAATCTGAAACAAGGAGAAGCTTGGAGGAAGAAGAATATGAGGTGAGAGGGAGAAACGAAACTCACCGACGAATCCACCGTCGTGCGCAGCCACTATAGACGAAGCCACTATAGACGTGCTTTGAATACAGAGAAACAAACGTTTGTCCCTTTCCCTTCTATTGTCTCAAATATACACACTTCTATATCACTGTGGTAACTAGGAGCTAACTACTTTTGTTTTTTGTTTTCTTAGTATACTAGCTAGGGGAGATCTATACAAAGCAGCTTCAGAGCATTCATGGCTTCTTCACAAGAAAATTTGAAAAATAGCAAAGGATTATCACATTCTATTCATCTAATATTCCTATCTCCATATTAACAATTTCTAGTCGCTGTGGAAAGTCTGCAACTAGTAGAATCCTCCCATGAACTGACTTTCTCCCAGTTTCCTGTCTTCAAAACTGCCAATTACTCCATTGCCATCACTAGAGAATCTAACATGTTCAAGTTTTAAGGTATACAAGCATGTGACACAAACAAAATATTATGCAGACATTCCATGCTGGACCAGCTCCGCCATAGAGGAATTATCCTTGTCAAAATCATAATAATCGTCCTCGTAATCATCACCGCCGAGTACAGATTCTATAAGACTCTTGATCATTTCAAAAGTTGAGTCTGGACTATCCAAATCATCATCAATCAGATTGCTTTCAGGAGAAGACATGAAACTAGGCGGAATTCTCACTTCAAGCACTTCAAGGGTCGAGAAAGGTCCGTCATATGTAATTAAACTGTCCTCATCAGGAAAACTAAAACCAAAAATAGAACTTGAACAGTCTTCTAAGCTGGTATTGGAAGACTTGAGTTCTGAATCCTTTGGAATTTGGACATCATGGATCAATCGAGGTTCAAGATAAAAATAAGACTCCCAAAGCTTATCATTGTTGCGACATAGAGGTGGCTTATAACTCTTATGCAGTAGATTGACATTATGCAGAACCTTTGAAGCAGAAACTTTCTGACTAAGAAAATCTAGTTCACTATAAGGTGATGGCAGAGAAATATAAACATAATCAGCATACGGTAAACAAAAATGCAGGTAAATAACTCAATTAAACTAACTGTTTATACCTCGTTCCAAGCCGCCATCCGTCTTTGAAATTGACAAAAAAAGGCATCATCGGACTTTGTGTTTAATTCTACATGTTATTAAAGATAACAGATTAAACAGGGAAATGAAACATGTAGAAAATTTGCAATATAACTAAGGACCAACTTTTATACTCCATTCCCCATTTTAGCTTCACAAGAACATGTTTCCCAGTCCAATTGACATGGAATAATTAAAAACACAAGACAGGGAAACAAAGTTTGAGTCCTAATCTAGAGGAGTTCATGCCATTTACATAAAGATTCTAATCATATGCAACCATGATTTTAAGCACAACGTTGCGGTTTTAATGCCTACAACCGCAATTAGAGTCCAATCATACATATGCTTCACCGCAATTCAAAATATTGGATAAGCTCTAAAACTACAACTCAATATTTTAGTTGCCAACTAGAATCAACAAGTTTCAAATCATTCTTAACATATTACAGCGATCATAAACAATGAAACTAACTTCCCATTAACTTATAAAAGCATGTGCTCAAACAAAATATTATGCAAACATTTTCTTACCAGGAGCTCCCTTTACAGAACAGTCATAGCCTGGATGCTGATCATCCTCAAAAGTTGAGTCTGGACTATCCAAATCATCTTCAATCAGATTGCTTTCAGGAGAAGACATGAAACTATCAATACGAGGTGGAATTCTCACTTCAAGCACTTCAAGGGTCGAGAAAGGTCCGTCATGTGTTAAACTGTCCTCATCAGGAAAACTAAAACCAGAAAAAGATCTTGAACAGTCTTCTAAGCTGGTATTGGAAGACTTAAGTTCTGAATCCTGTTAAATTTGGACATCATAGATCAATGGAGGTTAAAGATACATATAAGACTCCCAAAGCTTATCCCTGTTTGCAAAATTTGAAAGTTACCTTGTTGCAACATAGAGGCAGATAGGACTTATTACTCTTATGCAGTAGATTGACATTATCCAAAACCTTTAAAGGAGACACTTTCTGACTGATAGGTTCACTAAAATGTGATGGCAAAGAAATATAATTAGCATCTGTAAAATAAAATGCATGGAAATAACTCAATTAAATTAACCATGTTTATACCTCGTTCCAAGCCGCCATCTGTCTTTGCCAAAAAAGCATCACCAGTGTAAAAGCACCCCTTTCCATTTTCTTTTCCCTTCCAGATATTTGCAAACCACCGATCACCGTGAAAATAAATCCAACCCTACATGGTTAATAATTATAGTTTTGCCAAAACAAAAAGGAAAAAAAAGAGAAAAGGTTTTGTGTTAACCTTAGCGCTTCCATCTTTTAGTGTTGTTGCATAAGATCCCCTCCCATACACCCTCCCATTCGACCCGCAACACCAGTCGGCTTAGGTCCAACCTGTGATATCTTTGCTCCCACCTTAGAATTCATCCCTTTGCCAATTGTTGGTATGATCAAAATGATGTTTTTCGGAATAAGACTCTGTGGTGTTGGTTTCTCATTAACCTTGTACTTCACATATCTGAATACTCTAGGACAATTGCCCTGATAAGGGCAATCTTTGAAATTATTGGAATCTGAAGTCTTGCACACCCTAATCTGGTATAGCTGATTTAAATTCAAGCAATCAACACCTATAACTAGCTCTACTACTTCTCCATTAGCTTCCCAATCGGCTGCTTCAAAAATAGGTCTGTATATGTTTCGAAGAGCCCTTTGGAAAGTATATTCGTATTTCGATATTATCCCAGCTGACATAAGCAGCTTATAGGCCTCATAAAATTCCAATACCTCATTAATGTATCTTACCCGAGGCCAACCGCTACAAGATCCATGTTTAATCCACTGGTTGTTCCAGAAGATGTGATCATCCGAAGTAAGTGAAGGCCACTTTGAATGCATCCGGTTCTCTAGGTTTCTATCGATCTAAATAAAATAATAATGCGAAAATTAATTAAATTTAAACTTTGAATTCTTCAAGAATGTGACACTAAAAGATGTTGATATCTCACGGCGATGCCGAGGATGAAACAAAGATGAACAATTAGGATTTGAGAGATAAAGAACTTGATTTGTGAACGAACCGTTACTTCATGGTTTCTTGGACAGCCAATGAACGATTAGGGGTTTAACTCGAACATCGAACATGATTAGGGTTTAAGAGATAACTCGAACGTGATATGGTAGAGTGAATGAACGTTTCAGAGAGACTAGAGTGAACAAACGTTTCAGTGAGACTTGAGAGAGTAGAGTGAAAGAGATAACAGAAAGTGAGCAGGAAGAGAGAGGGAATGAACGGTTTTTTCAAACCCTTCAACCGAGAAATTAATTTGCTTCATTATTCCCAAAATACCTCCTTCACTGTTTAACTTAAATTTTTTTATTTTTATCAAAAAAAATTATTATTGGTCAAAGGAGTTAAAAATTAAATTTTTCGATAATCCAATTGTGATTAATTGGAAATTTTAAAATTTTCGATTGCAATTCATCGATGATTTTAAAGTTTTCGTGTAAATTTTAAAAAACCAGCACACATATTGGAAATATATTGGAAATTACGTAAATTTTCGGTAGATAACGTTTATCAGAAATTTAAAATATTTCTGGGATACTGGAAATTTGAAATTTTCGGAATTCCAGATATTTCAGTTATACTTGAAATTTTTTATATGTCTGTAGATGAAATTTTATATCTTTGCCGTCTTAAACCAGTAGCTTCAACTTCTTCTACGAATTCATAAATTGATCTTACGTTGTTCTTCATCACAGATATCGTATGGTTCTTATTTAATTTACACATTTTTTATTTGTTTTTTTTGTAAACTAATGAAGTTTACTAACTATATATTGTTGTAATTGTCTAATTTTTGAATTATGAGCTAAAGTTCTAGAATGAGCATAATCTATTGGTAAAAATCATAGTATTGGGAAGAATTGTCTAGGAAATGATCGTAGGTTTTTTAATGCATATATGTATGACATTTATCCAATTTATATATTAAGTCGGTTCCTTATTTCACTGTGTATTTTATTCAGGTAAAAGTTAAAAAATAAAAAAAGTTTCAGTACTACCGGAAATTTTAAATTTCTGATTTTTTTCACACACCAGAAATTTTAAATTTCCAATTTCTTATAAGGATGAAATACACCGGAAATTTGAAATATTCGGTAAATTTCCGGTTAAGTTCATATGACACGATAAAAACTTGGAAATTCAACGAAATTTCCGGTATTTTAATGAAATTTCCGGAACTTTACCAAAAATTTCAAAAATTTCAATATATTTCAGAAATTGTTTTGTAAATGTGCCAAGACTGAGGAATGCCATGTATAATATGAAGAATGACATGTTAAACCTCGGATAAATTTTTATTTCACCCTACCCTAATTGTTCATTGACTCCAATGAACCATGAATCTATTTGCATGGGATGTGGTACTGTGATCCTCATAATACCTCTTTGTTTCATCCTCGGTGTCGCCGTGAGGTATCAACTTCTTTTAGTGTCACATTCTTGAAGAATTCAAAGTTTAAATTTAATTAATTTTCGCATTATTATTTTATTTAGATCGATAAAAACCTAGAGAACCGATGCATTCAAAGTGGTCTTCACTTATTAAACATGGATCTTGTAGCGGTTGGCCTCGTCGTTGGCCTCGGGTAAGATACATACATTAAGGAAGTATTGGAATTTTACTGGTGCTTATATCAGTTGGGATAATACCGAAATAATATTATCGGGTAAGATACATACATTAAGGAAGTATTGGAATTTTACTGGTGCTTATATCAGTTGGGATAATACCGAAATAATATTATCGAATACTTCCAAAGAGCTCTTCGAAACATATACAGACCTATTTTTGAATGGAGAAGTAGTAGAGCTAGTTATAGGTGTTGATCATTTCAACATAGACTATATATTATAATACCACCTATTTTTGAATGGAGAAGTAGTAGAGCTAGTTATAGGTGTTGATCATTTCAACATAGACTATATATTATAATACCACCTATTTTTGAATGGAGAAGTAGTAGAGCTAGTTATAGGTGTTGATCATTTCAACATAGACTATATATTATAATACCTCCGTGTGAAGAAAACAACAACAAAAGCTAGTTACTTGTAAGAAGGCTTTCCTTGTAAAGACCGGCCATAAATTTACTTCCCTTTCCACTGGGAATACCAACTACCTCAATTATTAATTTACTTCTCTTTCCACCATTAATACCAAACTCCTCAATTATTTGGGTGTTCAAATTAACATAGGCGACTTCATAAACTTTTGTCGTAACGTATATATATCCCATCTTTCCAAATCCAATTAGGGGCCATTGGATGGAAGGTAAGGGGCCATAAGTATATAGTTTGATCCATGATTCACTCACACCAAGTTCACCCAGAACAAATATGTGAAAAACAATATCATCGTGATAATTTGAGATTAAAGCAATTGATCCATTTAATTGCGTCAAGCGTCCATGACAACTGTATGGGGAAAAAGGTTCTTCCCCAATGGGTGTTGTAAGGAACACCTCATCACTCAAGTCAAATGACAAGAGAGTCATAGCATGTAGATGGCTGAAAGAATCCAAAACCAACCAATGACACGCTCCATCCACATAAACTTCGAGACCAGAAAATGAACGAGATAGAACAAAATCCCAATGAGACATATGATTCTCCATGTTGATCATTCTCCAAGAATTACTTTTCAAACTATATATCTCAAAAAAACTTGTTTGATGCCGAGGATAGCGATCATAATAAAATGATAAATATTGAATGATCTTAAAGTCATCTCTAAGTTGGTCATAACCAAACCCGTGAAAAACAGAATCCGGGCAGAAGGTGAAGCCTGTAGGGTCTTTTGGTATAAGTTGAGTGGGGCTAGAAGGAATGACCGTGAATTCCTCAGTAAGGGGATTCCACAGTACATATTGGGACTGCTCATTCACATTTTGAAAATAACTTTGACCAAGACAAAAAATGCCGTTAACACTTGTGGAGCCCAGAATATAAGTATCAGCGCCAGAGTGTTGTAATGGAGATGGCAAATTAAATTTGAGTCCGTTCTCGAGCAAATGGAATTCAGATTCGTAATAACAACAGCGGTTGTCATCATAAAGAAAATATTGATTGGCGAGGATAAATGTATGATAATGATCATCAGAACCGTGACGAGATAGGAAATGGTTGGTGTACATGGTCATGAAATCAGTGTTTTCAAATAAAATGGACCATGATTTGCATACGCATCAATGATTTTACAGACAGTTTTGAAAGAATAGAGAAAGCAATTTCTTCGGAAATAGAGTTTCTGCTAACCTTTGATTTGGAGGACTCTGTGTTTTCCATCTGACTAGCGGTGGTGTAGAACCATAGTGGAGAATGGTCTTTGCTGAGCTTTGCCACAGATTTTGATCCAGAGGACTGGGAACTAAAACCAAAGCTGGACTCATCCAATATTAAGATCAAATTCATTAAAAAGATCATCTAATCATTCATCTAACTCATCCAATATATTTTAAATATTCAATAAATTATTTTTTATATATTTTTTAAATTCATTAGATCTATTTAAATAAACAATACACAAAAATTATTTTAAATTATATAAATCATATCTTTTATAAACAAATAATTTATTGTTCAAGAAAATACAAAAAAAGAGATTTTTTTTTCCGAAAATACACAAAATCGATTTTTCCGAAAAATTAAAAAAATGATTTTTATTTCTAAACAAAAAAATTTTGTTTAAGAAAATACTAAAAAAAATCTTTTTTTTCCAAAAATACAAAAAATCGATTTTCCCCAAAATGAAAAAAAAAATCGGGTTTTTTTCCAAAAACCCAAATATTTGAATTTTTTTTTATGAACAAAATAATTAATTTTCTCGAATATACATACAAACAACTGGTTTTTTATATATATTAATTTTCAATGTAACTTTTTATAAATAAATAGATATATTTAAATTAATTTTTTGAATGGATGGATATATATCCATTAAAAAGATGTTAATGGATTTTTTTCAAAAAATATAATGTTAATAGATGGATTTGATGATTTTTATTCTTAATGAATAGATTGAATTGAATATTTTTTTAAAAGTTTTAGTGGACTGTTAATGGACTAATTGATTGTGAATATTAGTCTCTTCCAACTGATAAAACCAATCCAACTGCGTTCCTGACAAACTTTCTTGAAAAAAATGCACCCATAGATCCTTATCAGCTGTATGGGGTTGAATCTTTCTGACGTATGACCTTAAATGCAGCTTCGGGCAACAGACATCGTCATATTTAGCGGAAGTGGGGACCTTGAATTTCTGCGGGATGACTACCCCTGAGACAAGTCCTAACTCTTCAAAATCCAATCCAGACACCCTCTGGACCTCCATAGCATTCAAACGATCCTCTAGCTATTTGTATTTATCATCAGCAGGAGGATAGTGCTCCTCAGAGTAGTCATGTTCTTCCTATTCTTCGAATGATGGGTTGTTGTTCACTTCATTGGTCTTGTCTTCTTGATTATCTCCTTTGCCTGATGATGTTATGAAGTCTAAAGTACATCTGGCTTGTCCTTTGAACCTTCTTCCCATGATCACAATACCGGGTGGTTTCTTCGCTTTCTTCTTCTTCTCTTCGGCCAGTAGAGTCTTCAACTCCTCTTGTCCTTTTGTCAGAGTTAAGAGCATTTGTTGAAACTGAATGTTCTGCGCCTGAAGATCTTTCACCGTCTGTTCAATATCCATCTCACTGAAATAAACAGTAGATGGATAAGGAGACATGTTGTAAGAAACCTGTGTGATGTTATGATGAATGAAGATGCATATGCAAATGATTTCAAGGAAATTAGAGATTTAAATTTGTTCATATCAAAAAAGAAACACACGTTATATTAATAAATCCAAGTTTGAGTGAATTGTGCCTCTTTGGGCTTACAACAAAATACAACAAAAACTCCTAAGACAAAAAGGTTGAATGTATCCTCTTTGGCACGATGTAGGCGTTCAGATTCTACTCTTCATGAAGCTGCCTGGTGAGTTCTAGAACCTTCTTCTCACTGGCGTAAAATTGGGCTTCAAAGGTGTTTCGCTCTTCCTTCAACTGAACCCAAGCTTTCTGCAAGTCTTCGAGAGAGGTAGGCATGTCAGGATGAAGGACAGTGTATGGGACGTCTCCTTCAACGACAGGCTCTATGATAACAGGGAGGATAGAAGGGTAAGGCATTCCGAGACTCTGAGCACGAGCCCGTACCCACCTAAAGTAAGGCTCGAGCGGGATAGAGTTTTTGTGTCCCAGAGTTCTACTGTCCACCTTGTTCACCATTCTCCAAGCTCGTGTAAACCTCTGGCGATAACCTAGGTCTTCCTTGTCGTAGTCGAACATCAAACCTTGGATGAGCATCTCGTGAGGGTCGTCTCTTTGGGCATACCCAAACTGTTGAAGAGCTAAGCAGGGATTGTAGGTGATACCTCCTCTAATACCAAGTAGAGGGACGTTAGGGAATTCCCCACAGCGGTCAATGATAGAGACATCTTCCAAGGATCTCGAACAACAACGGATGTCAGAATGGGTGAGCGACATCATCCTTTGGGACCATGTCAGTCTTTGCTCGTTCTTCAATGCTGATTGAGGTAGGTGTGAAGTGAACCACTTAGCGAGTAGGGGGATACAACACAAGAGAGTACCTCTTTTCTTCATGGTGTGGGTATGAAGGCAATGCAAGATGTCTCCCAGTAAGGTAGGTACAAGATTGTGAGAGAGAAAGACTTTGATGGCATTAGTATCTATAAATTGGTCCGAGTTGGGGAACATAACCAAACCATAAATGAGAAGAGCCAGGATGTCTTCGAAAGCTTGGAAATCCATGTCGTCCCAGAATGAACGAGCCTTCTCCAATAGGAACTTGGGTAGGAAACCTTTAACCCCGCTTCTTGTCTCCCAATTGGCTATGATGTCAGCTCTTTTCAGACGCAAAGCTTCAGCGATGACTTCAGGTTTTGGAATCTCCTCTAGACCGGTGAACAGTATCTGATCAAGCACGGGCATCCCTAAGAGTATGGAGAACTCTTCCAGTGTCGGTACCAACTGATAGTCCGGGAAAGTGAAACAATGATGTATGGGGTCAAAGAATTGGAACAGCACACACATCATCTCTTCTTGGAAACTGGATGTAGCCAAACTGAGGAGTCGACCATATTTCTTGGTAAAAGGAGAATCCCCGAGCACTCTTGAGGCTAACTCTTGAAGCTGAGGGTGTGCTTTTACAAAGCTGATTCAGATGGTGTTTCTTCGGACGGAACTCATGACCTACAACAACAAAGATAAATTTCTAAATCCTTGAAATGGTTAGTGAGTGTGCGTATGATGCTTATGATGTTTATGATGTTATGTATATACACACACAGCAAACAAGTTCCTATGTTTCAGGCTTGCATGGGGTTTTATAGGTAAGTACCCTCTTGAAGTTTAGTTGGCTCAACCTGTCCTAGTAATAGTGATCGGGTTCTAAAGGATCTCAATATCACCAACCTTTCTCTTAGGCATTGTCTCAGCACAATCAATCTTTTCTTGCGGCCGAGATATCCCAAAAGTCCAGCCTTAATGAGTGTAGTATCGAGTATCAACCAATTTTCAGCTCTACACCGAAACCGGTTATCTCACTACGTCATAATGGCCAAGTTTGTTCAATTAGGGTTCTAAAGTCAATTAGTTCTTTATAATGCCACTCAGCGGCTCCGTATTCTCCTCGATTCACCACGAGGGATATAGGTACCCACAAATGCGTCACACTAACGTAGTCATTGTTTCAACTATATCGGTCTATGCCGTACAGTTTCCACAATCTATTGCTACTTACCTAAAAAGGTGTCTCAGGTCCGGGTGGAGGATCAAAGCAAGCCCAATACCAAGAACAAAATATAAAGCATACAAAGAAAACAAGTAAAGGTGATCTAACCCTAAGGTAACCCCACTTTCAGATTTATAGCCCCCAACAGAGTCACCAGTTCTGTGATACGGTGGGAGAACTGAGTTTTGTTTTGCGTTTGTTTTTGCAAATGTTGCGGTTTAGCAAGAGTCGCCATCGACTTTTCTTTTATCCAAAAGGAAAGGTGAAAAAGCACAGAAAAGACCTTTAGAGATGTTTTCTTGGGTTCGGGGGGGTAAATTATGAAAAGGGAAGGTGTTAGCACCCTCTTCATCCATGGTTTTCCATGGGCTCTTAGCTACTCGCTAGATCACTTGCTTTTGTTTGAATGTGCTTGTGGTGTGGTTTTTTGAAAGTATTTTTGAACACGTCTTTGTAATGGTTCTCGTCTCTATAAGAACGCATACAAAGTGCTTTGTTTGGAAAATAGTTCAAAGATGAGTTTGTGAGATGTGCTTTTGAAAGTGATTTTGAAAAATGCTTTTGTAATGGTTCTCGTCTCTATAAGAGCGCGTACAAAGTATTGTCTTTCAAAAATGTTTTCAAAATAAGAGTGTGGGTGTATAAAAATGTTTTTGTGGTGAGTAAGCGAGCAACTAGGAGCAAATCTACCTACTCAAAAGGTCTTAGATGTTCTTTTCCTCCTCTTTAGATGTTGCTATCTTACCATTGATTTGGTAAGAAGCCTCGTCATTGGATGTGAAGGGACGGGCGTTGGGACGTTTGTATAGTCATAGAAGGCAACATATGGGACGTTTTAGCAATGTTGTTTTTTAGGGACTAGATCGTTTAACGAAGGCAACATTGAGGGTCATCGAGGGACTACGATCTTTTATCAAGGATCTTTGCTAAAACGCCCATGTTCGAGGGACATGACTATTTTTCCGATATGCCACAAAGTGGGATTATCCTAAGGGTGCTAGTGTGCAAGTGTGTTTGATTGCATGCATTTTAATCTTGATTAGGGTGATCTATTTGTCGATTTCATGTCTTGCCATACACACCCTACTTACTAACAATATATGAAAGCAATAAAAGTGCGGAAAGTAAAGATTCTACGCTATTACAATCATTAGGGGGGATGGGGTGTACAAATTTACAAATGGGGTTTTTTGTAAGAAAATAAATCCTAATTATTTATTACAACCATATTGAAATAATAACGCAAGAAAGAAAAAGGACTTTGTTTGGAAAAATGTTTTTTTTGTCTTAACGAATTAAAAAAAAGAGAATGAATTAGCTAGTAAAAAGAAAATATTTGTATGCCTTTTTTATATTGATAAAAGAGTATTAATATTGAAAGTGATAAAAAGGAAAATAAATGAGATATAGAATCAGTGTGCTGCTGCCAGCTGTGATCGGTGGAAATAGAACTGACTGTTTAAAGCTGGTTCGCGAAATGTCGCGGTAAGCAAGAGTCG